TTCATTAAACACAAAATTGTTGAAAACAAGATGCCAGAAAATACACAGATAGACGGTTACACAGACATCAAAACAGAGACCACCGCCAACTTAGCAGATACTCTAAAACATATTCTTTCTTTTCGCATTCTTTCCTTAATAAACTATAATTTCAATTTCACCCATAGGTGCCGATATTTGAGAAGCAAAGATCGACAAATGAATGGGAGAAACTATCCTCAGTTGTATTTCCCAGAGGTGTACCTTCTTGAAGGAGGATACAAAGCTTTCTTTCAATCACACAAGGTATGTTTTGTAACTAGTCTGGGCTTTGAAATTTTTATCATGTTTTTTACATGTTCCGTCTTCGACAGTTATTTTTAATGCATTTGATTTGGATTGGCAAGCAGAATTTAAACCAGAGCCAAGTTGTTCACTTTAGCTTAAATGCAAAACATTATATTTTTTTTTATTTTAAAAAGTATGTAGAAACAACTTGTTGCACGACCAGGAATTAACGTTAAATTCTATTTTTGTTCGAGATCATGTTTAGCTCATTAGCGATTTCAATTTTGTAAGTTTTTTTAAAAGGCCATTTGTGGTCGTATTTTTTTTTTATTTCTATATAAATATTTGAAACATATATTGCTTGCTTATCACGCATATCTCATGCCCAGAAGTTTATCCGACCGTCTTGGTAACTGCTGTACAGTGACAAATTATAACTCCATACCCGTTATGATAGCTTATAAGTAATATGTGCTTAATATTAAAAAAATAACTCGTATAAAACTAGAATAATTGTAATAAACAAACAAGACCCCTTCACTCACAATATAGATTATTTATGATAACATATTTTTGAAATACCTGGACACAAGACAATTTGACTCTGTTATAAATTATTGACTGATCTTTATTTCAGTATTTCTGTGAACCCGTTGACTATGTTCCGATGTTGCACGACGAGTATAAAGTGGACGTACGACATTTTCGATCCAAGACCTCAACCCTTAAAAGGAACTGCTCACATGTAAAGAAAGTGGAACATTGCATTGCACCGCAAAAACTCCTTTTTTCTATGTGCTAATGAGCTAATGTGTCACCTTCTTACTGTATATCAGAAACAATCTAGTGCTATTATATATGTTATATTTATTTTGTTATTCGTTGAAATCTTATGATATATTTATTATTCATTTATTGAAATTGGAATACTTTACGTGATTTCATTAATAAATATATGTTCATTTATATAAACTTGAATTTGCCTAGTTGATATTCCTAGAGCCGTATTTTGCCAGCCTTTCGTATGTTTAACGAACAACTTTTATTTTCGAGACTTTGTGTGAAAATGCAAAAGTTTTTATCAGTGCGACATATCCTTAACCGACAGGACCAAATCAAAAATGATTTGCACCACGAAAACGCTATTGTTCTAACCATATTTGATTAAACCTTTAAAGCCCCAAATGTTGCAAAGCACCTGTCCTACCTCCATGACAAATATGTTGTTGTCCCCGCAGATAAATCCCCAAACAACATCGTTTTTATGTGTAAATCACATTACATAAACTGCTTGATAAGGGCATTAGGTATCTACAATTCACTTGGAATCTCAACATATACCCCGAGACACTTAAAGAGGAAATCTTGAATCATCATAGTTCTGTTCTATGTTCCTTTGAAATTTCAACCAAAAATGAAGAACAATTTCTTTCTTCATTGTATTGGATACCTAAATTACATAAGTATCCTCACAAACAACGTAATATTGCTGGGTCTTCCAAGTGCTCCAGGAAACCTCTTTCTAAATTATTAACTTCAATTTTATCAGCAATCAAAGCCAGGCTTCAGAATTGTTTTGAAACTACCAGCTCTAGGGGCCGAGAGAATTAATCGGATGTGGATACTAAAAAAATCCGAAGATCTGTTAAGAGTACATACAATCTAAGTCTATTTCCTCTTACACTAGTATTAAAAACTTAACTTTTTACCCTTTACACAAGTATTCTCGATTCCAAATTATTAGACAAATTGAAAAATAATAGTCCTGTTTTGTTTTTCATAAAACATGGACCAACGTAGAAACAAATGTCTTGTTTTAGGGAGGGATAATTGGTACTTTCAAAAAACATACTGATTCAAACACAAAATTATCTGAAGCTGACATTACCAAGACGCTCAACTCCTTTCTTGACAACATATTTGATACATTCGGAGGACTTTTTTTTTTTAAAAAGGCATTCCCATTGGAACAACTGTGCTCCTCGTTTTGCCGACTTGTTCTGTTATTAGGCAGACTTCATACAATAGCTTCTAAGGAAGAATAAAAAGAACCAAGCATTATCCTTTAAGGTAGATAGGGTGTCTTCCTCCATCTTGGATTTTGAAATACCAGAAAATAATCGGTCTAGATCTTTAATAAAATGTGCAAATTTTGAGAGTAGTTGGTAATTCATGTGTAAGAATTTTCATTTTAATATAGAAAATGACATGTTTTATTATATTTATGGTTGTATTTTACAAAAAACAGAATACTTTTGTTTGATTCAATTTTTTCCAACTTTGCCACATAAGGGGAGGCAACTCAAATGTAAGGGCAGATAATTCAGATAAAGTTACTTTTACAATAGAATGTGTTAGGAATTTACCTATTTTATTATGTAGCAAGAAAACGGGTCCCGTGACCCCATTTTTTCTTTTCTTATCTGAAAGTATAATATTAGAGCTATCTTCTCATATTTTATCTCGAAATTCTATGGTGTAGTTTTCGTTTTATTGCAGAAAATTGCGTTTTCCATGCATAATCTATACAAAATCTGTCAATTTTGCACAACCTGTAGCGTGAAAATAAGCCCCGTGACCAATTCTTTTTATTATTTTTTTTAAAAAAGCATGATATAAACTACATTTTGACAAATTATTAAAAAATTCTATGGATTATAATTTCGAATCCCCATCTGCCTTAACCTCACGTTCCGCTAAACAGATTATGCCCTCTCACTGAATGATACAAAATTTGGTACCTGTAACTATGTTGAACGCATCTATCCTATTGAGAAAATGATACAACAGATACAGTTAAGTCTGCCGCATGACTTTCATCTACAAATTGACAATGAAGGTCAGTTGAGAACAAAATTTTACAACAATAGAGATGATTTCCGCTTCTCAATTGCAAACTTTCCGTTTCATTATATCTAAAATTCAGCAGCGCCTGCATTTGCGTGGAGTACATATCTCTCAGTTGAAACGATATTCGGGAGCTTGCATTTCCTATCATAATTTCATTGACAGAGAGTTGCTGCTCACAAGGAAGCTATTAAACCAAGAGTTCCAAATGGTGAAGTTGAAGTCATCCCTTTGAACATTTTACGGACGCCATCACGAGTTGGTTGACCGTTATGGAATATCTGTTTAACAGATGACGACGGATATGTTCCAATTGTAACCATAATCCCTTCCACTTTTCCTCGAATGTGACCTACCGAATTAGACTTATCACCGGGGTTGTATTAACATGAGCAACACGACTGGTGCCACAGGTGGAGCATTACCTGCTTACCTTTCCGGAGCAACTATCATTACCCCTTGTTTTTTGGTGGCGTTCGTGTTGCACAGACTTTGTAGTTTAATATGTTGTGTTTTGTAGATTGTTGTTTGTATATTGTTCGTTTTTTTACCATGGGATTGTCAGTGCGTTTTCTACTGATGAGTTTCACTATCCCTTTGACATCTTCCGCCTCTCTTTTATGTGAACCTTGAGACTGTGCAATGTAATGATGAACTTTATGAATTACATGGTACAACCCTGAAAGTAAGTTTTTATGAAACATTACGGAGAAACGACGGTAACTGTTTTGAACGAAAGAATCGTGATCAAGTCAAGCCTGATGTAATCAGAAGTGATTTGTAGCAATTCACTTCATTTATTTACACCATTTTTGCTTTTTTCGGTAGGCCAATTATCCTGCTTGGCCTTAACAAATACTACATACACCAAAAGAATAAAAATATCAAGAAACGTTGTCCAAAACGGTAAGCTGCTGTTATAGGAGCACGGGTAAAGCTCAGTCTAGATGGTCTCGGTTTGACTATGAAAAAGGTTATTGCTACAAATAGAGTCCAATAAATGTAAACCACCATGGATACTACAATGTCACAGTTATAGTAAATCGCAGGGACATTCATGTAGACCCTAATATTATGGTTTTTGTTTGTTCTCGTCGTAAACAGGCATGTGATATTGATCTCTGGACATATAGTAAAAATCAATCCTTCTTTCATGATATGAAAATTCCATATGGTCACATAGAAATTGTACAAAATTATATAAGACCAAATATCACACATCTATAATGTCTTAGACAAATTATGATATATCAACATGAAACCCTCAGGCCTTGTTATAATCCGGTCCATTGTGAGTGTTGTTTTTTTTTTGTCAGCTGCATTTTTTCACAAAATGGCAACTGTTTCTTTCGTTCTTTATGATGATTTTTAAATATTTTGGTATTTTGCTTAACTTTAATGATGACTTTTACAATTAAATCAAGAAAAATATTGTGGAACAAGAACAGAAAGCACTATATTCATTATATACTATACTACGAAAAGTTTATCTATAGGTTTGCAATTAAAGCTATTTGATGCATTAATGTACCCAAAATTGAAATATTCATCTGAGTTATAAAGGTTTGAAAATGAAACATACAAGGTTTTGAAATAGAAAATGTGTATATGTTAGGAATGCAGTGGAACTGGGACTAATCATCAATGAATACATTAATTTAGTCCCAGACTGTAACAAGCACGCCAACCTTTAAGGTGTGTGGCGAAATTGGGCGATCATGATCATTAAACACCTGGCATTCAAAGTATGACCATGAATTAGGGGTTGGCTGCTTATATGATGTCTCTGGTTCTATATGGACTAGGGGAAGTAACAAAGGAAAGGAATACAAAAACGGAATATATTTCGTATCCATTCCGACGTATTAATAAAATACTGGTGTCGACATCTGGTGACAATTTAATAATGAGCAAAATGTTTGTCAATAGTTGACAGAAGGATCTACACCCTTTTATTTATATTATTAATTGAATTCGCCCGTTCAGGTATTTATTGCATACGCCCTTCTTTACCTTTGTATCTTCGGGCTAGATGCTGACAATGACAGGTGCTGCACATTTTTAATAGACATCGCATTATGACGTCGTTTTTTGCCATATTTTGCCTTTTCTAAATCGTCTGAAATTATGGTCGTGTTTTAAGGAAACGCTTACCCATAGTAATGAGGGAACGAATAATGAATTTGTCAGTTTTTCGGGAAAACGTGTAGCTGAAAATTAAAGAGATCTAGGTATGATCATGATGATAATTTGTGCATGTTAGTCTTGCATTAACAATAACATACCTGTTCATTACGGTATCTTTATCAAATAAAACACCGATGGTTATACAGTGTAATCTTTTTCTTCAATGGGTATCCAATGTAACATTACCAGGGAGTGACAACATACATCAAAGGATGTCACAGTTGGCATTGTGACATCAAAGATGTTCAGCTGCTGTATAATTTTCTGGCCAACGAAATGCAACCAGATTAAAAAAAGCAGCAGCAAGAGGGTTTAAGGCAAACAGTTTCTTCTCTTTGATTTGAAAATTAATTCTGTGTGCACTTATGAAATTTTAATTCTCCCTACAACTGAAAATTCTAGAATGCTCAATGTCATAAATATTCATATTTGTTGCTTACAAATGTTGATGCAAACACATATACATCCAATTGTGTATGAATGTTGTCTTGTCTGTAAATTTCACCCTTCCAGATCGTTTTGTTTTTCGTTTAATCATAACTTACTATTAAACAACAAATCAAGGCTTCATCACAATACAAAGGTTTTATTGTGATTAGAATTGTCCCCCTTTTCCCAGTTTAACAGGAAAATTCAAATCTACAAGATTTCAAACGATTTGTAAAAAAACCCAAATAAATTACTGATATAATGATATTGTTCTATTTCCGAATATAGAGCTACAGTACAAGTTAGGACATATTATGAAAAATGTCTGACTCAGACAAGTCAGAAATGAATAGTCCGACAAGATTATGGAACACAATGCAATGTATTAATCTCAGCTGCAAGATGAGAAAAGAAGATTTGTAGTAGATGTGAATCGACTGTAAGACAATTTAATAGGCATAATATTGTTCTACTGGTTGAATGCAAGAATGCTTTCTAAAAATCAAGTTCACTTGTTGCATGCTCACACTGGCATCTAGTCACAATTTTCTGTATTAAATATGATAAACAATGATAAAATATGGTTAGCAAAGTTAGTCACCTGCTTTTTAATATGGTTGTTAGTTTCCCCAAAATTTATTCATCTGCTAGTCTAAAGATGGTTAGTTCAGTGAGTGTGATAATAAAAAATTTAAGAGTTCCAACGATATAAGCTTCTAACATACAGATTAGCTTGAGTCCGCCTCTATCAGCATGCATGGTACAATATTCTTAATATTTCACGCAGTTATACATGTTGTAGAGAGTTATGCAAAGTTTTATTTCCTCCTCAAAATATTTTGAGTAGGAGTTTGGGAACAACTTGGCTTTCCCACTGCTTTAGAAAAGGGTAGGGTAATTTTTTAAACAGAGTGCAACTGATAATGAAATCCGTCAAAATGGCACTTATTAAATTTTGATTGCAACCAAAAAGTAGATAACAGTACTGATCATATATTACCACAGGATGCTTACCAGTTAGGGCAGAGTGATAAACAAACAAGTCAAATACATATATTTACTGGGAGCCATGTCTTTCCAAAATCTCATCCAGTAAAAAATAAACGACATTGTGGTGTTCCTATAAAGCTGGAATTTTCAGACAAATTTGAAATTCTGTAAAGTCCTGCAAATATGACCATTTTGGAAACTATATAAAAATAAGGAGGTACATGTATGGTATGATTGCCAATGAAACAACTATCAACCAGGGACTGTTCAGGACAAGGATGTAAACAGCTGAAGGGCACAGTGAGGCCTTCAACAATGAACAAATTTATACCATATAGTAATCTACAATTAATGTACATGTACAATGTATGATAGGCCCCAATATGACAAAATGACAAACAAGTAAAAAGAGAAAACCAATAGCCTGAGGTTTGCTAAAAAACAAAGGAAAAACAAGTAAGGCAGACAACAAATTGCAATAAACATGAATTACAGGCTCCAGACTTGGGACAGGCACATAAAGTATGTGGCAGTGTTCAACATATTTGTTCAGGTAAGATATGGTTGGGAATTGTGTTATTTTCATGACCAGCAGGTAAAAATGTGGTGGGTTAAATAAGAAGGTCTGTCAGGTAACCATGATAACCAAAAACACAGCATATTCATTGCTTGCAGCCTATGATGTACATGTTGTGTATTTTATGCATGTGTCATTATTTGAGTGTGAATAGACATTGGTGCCAAATGTTATGACTTAATTTTCTGTTAATTATACTGACTAATTACTTGTTTTTCAAAGCATGGGCAATTCAAAATCCACAAAATGTGCAGAGACAGTTTCTCTTGGGATGCCTCAGAAGGAAAGGGATCTCCATCTGGCTGTGATGGCTAATGATAAAGAGGGAGTAAAATTATGTGTTACACATGGAGCTGATCTGAACTATCCCTGGAGTAATCCTGATGTACCTAGTGTTAAAGATAGTACAACACCTCTGTTGGCAGCTGTTTCTCTAAACCATGTAGAAATTACTGAGGTATGTATCAAATTCAAGATTGTTCAATTCATACAAAGATCTTTAAGATATAACTTGTAAAAATTCCATTTGTTTTATCACGTTTGTAGTCACTGTTGACTAACAGACGTACTTGTGGTCACTTTTACTTTGAATAGAACAAGGTGAGTTGCTTTATACTATACTTTTCTTCTGATATATTTTGTAAAATATAAACATGTTCATTGTTATACTGTCATTGCCTTAACAGATCTAACGAAATAACGATCATTTTCATTTTGTGGCATTCTGCGTAAAAATTGAATATTCTATATTTTTGTCAAACATGGCTCCCACTTAAGTTGTTTGAACATTATCTTGGTAAAGTTTAGGTGAACTGGTTCCCTTCTAGATTTTCAAGTACATTAATGCCCTTCAGTATAAACCAGTATAGCATTAAGCTTTACATTAAGTGAAACAATTTTCAAACAAAAATTTATATGGTACAATTAATTTGATAGATTTTGGCAGGAATAGTCTTACAGTTGTCCCTGTTTGAAATTATTTGTGATAAACATATTGGACATCCAATTAAAACTCCCAACTCTGTATGTTGGTTTACTATAAAGCATGATTCTTAAATATCTAAATAAAAAAGTTCTTGTCTTGAATAGGACATGACTGTCTTCAGAAGAGAAAATGCATATGTGATAGAAATTACAATTTATATATGCCTTGCTAATACATTCTGTTAATATTTCAGCTGAAGCATAGTTCAACTTGTTATTTTAAACTTAGAACAATGGATTTGTCAGACAGTGTATGATATTTTACTTCTCTCTGGGTTTTGAGGCACTTGTATTCACATGTGTTGTCTAAATTTGCTTTATTTCAGATTTTGATAAGAGCAGGGGCAAAGATAAATTTGACTGATAGAAATGACTGCACACCTCTGTATAAAGCTGCTTTCCATGGGAGACCTGTCCTGCTAGATATTTTGTTAAAAGCTGGTAAATTGAATATATTTTTGAAAATAACAGTTATGAACAAGTTTTTTTTTAGTATTGAAAAAATTTTAAATCACAAAAATTTTCTACATTTGTATTTTCCCTGTCAGTCAAAATAATTAAAGCCTGAAGAATTTATCAGAATTTTGTTTGATTTTAAGATTTTTTTTTACATTATTCACCAGTAACTGCTACAGATGTTTAGCTTCATCATCATATATCACATATCTACAAATCATAAATAATCATCATACATGTGTATATCATGTTATGAGAGAGATCATATGATTATTTCCATGCACACATCATATTTTTCTGGAAATCACCTTCATTAGGTACTCTCATAACCAAATGTTTGGAGAGTCGAAAACTTTAATGTTGGAGGGCGCAAAACCAAAAGGTCCTAACCAGAACAGCCCAAACCTTTTCAGGTCAACATTGCCTGAGGTAGTTACAACCTTAGCTTTACCATAATTGCATAATTTTAGGAATTTGAATTTTAGAGACAAAATGTGTAATAAGAATCATGCATATACTGAAGCACTGGGTACTTGATCAATGGTATCTTTGGGGACAAATAGTCCCCCACACAATGGCACTGACCCAGTGGTAGTGATATAAAGGGTGATATGATTTCTGTGCACACAGCACATGTTTATGAAGTAACCTTCATCAGGTGCAGTTCAGACAAAAAGTTTGAAAAGCCAAAAGTATAAAATGATGGGGAGCAGCATGAAAACCAAAAAGGTATAAATAGAATAGGGAAAACCGTCAAACATCAACTTTGCATGAAGGAGTTGCAATCTTATAAAATAATATTTTAACAAAGAATTTCCTGACAAAATGTATCATAATCAGATGAGGCCTTTTCTAGAAGTTTGTTGTAAGCAAGCATAGTTCATAGTATTTAAAAAATATATATTACATTAACAAATTATAAACAATAAACATTGAAACAATCATTGGCGCAGTCAAAAATATTCCATGGATATTTAAATTAAACAATCTCGATACATGATATTAAAGAAAAATTCTGATTTTTATTTCCAGCCCAAGATAGTAAGACAAGGGGACATTGTGTTTTCCGATCTATGTGTTCGTCTCTTATCTGGGCTTAAAGTTTTGGTTTACCATAAAGATATTGTCCCATCAACTTGAAACTTGCTACACATGAACTTTGTAAATAATATGACCCATATTTTGGGGTGCATCAAATCTGATAGTGCAAGCAGGTTATGGTGTCCTATTGACACATTTTCTTGTTTTGATTTATTATCAAAGTATGATTTGGATTTCAGGTGCCGACATTAACAAATGTGACAAAGCTGGACAGACTCCATTGTATATATGTGTACAGAATGCAATTGTACATTCCAGTTATAGAGCTGTAGAAAGACTTCTCAGTGGTGGGGCATCATTACAGTTGTAAGTCCTAGTTTCTGATTGCATGTTGTCTTCTTTAACCCTTGACCTCTTCAGAAAGACGTGATTGATAGATCTCTTTTTACCTTAAGGTCTTGTAGCAAATATTACATGCATATTTAGGATGAAAACATATGTAACAATGAGTCAGTTAGATAGGCTAGATGTAAAATTAGTTGATGAGATGAAGGTGTACTGCTGCTTGAAAAAGGTGGTATGTGTGGTACAAATGTATGGTAAGTACTTTTTCCATCAAAAAAGATCATCTACAGGTCAAAAGAAGAGTTAATGCAAGGGTTTTTTCAAAGGAAATTTTTGAAAAAATGCAATGATGCCGATATAAAAAAATCAATAGAAAAGATATCTTTATTTCTTGATTTTTTATCTTGTGACTATTTGTTTCATGAGTAATAATGCAAGAATATTGAGAAGTAAACAGCAATTCCAACAAAAAACCATATATGTATAACTTCTTTTGATGATATGTAGTTGTATTTTGCAGGTCTGACAATGCTGGTAAATCTCCATTGCATGTAGCAGCCCACTGGAAACTGAAAGATATGATTAAAATTCTTCTCAGAGCAGAAAACGATGTTAATAAACTTGATAACAAGGGTCGTACCCCTCTGTATGTATGTGTCAGCTCGCTCAGTACTGGTCTATACAAGGAAGATTTGAAATACCAAGTTCCATGTATCAAGGTCCTGTATTCTGCTGGGTGTGATATGTTGAACTTGACAGACTGGATCAAATGGAAGGGGCCCGGCATTCCAGAGGAACTGATGGCTGATGATCCAGCATTCCTGGAATGGTACAAAAGTAATATGAACTCGCCACATAGTCTGGCTAATCTTAGTCGTCTAGTCATACAAAAGAGACTTTACCAGCACCGAAAAAGAAATATTGTTCAACTGGTTCCAAAATTACCAGTTCCTTGTAAAGTGAAGACTTATTTGAGCCGAGCTATGTTTCATCTTCCCACTCCCACCACATCTATCTAGCCTACAACATATAACAATGTTTGAAAACATTGTCAGGCCAGTGGTCAAATCCATTTTTTGCACACATAATGCATAAGAAAAGAAAGTTTATGTTGTAAATTCTCAGTATGAAATGGCAAGGATTAGCAGTGGCCAGAAGAAAATAGACCTTTCGACATCAGATTCGATTAGATATCCTTTCATTTTAACTATTTTGATGTGTAAACTTAGTGTTACAGGCAGTTATTTTAGTGCAAAGGTTCTTTTTATGGAAAACCCATGATGGAAAATAAAAAAGCAGTTTCGTTATCATGATTAATATTAAATCAAACTAATTTCTTTAAGGTTTCTTATTGTAAGATTTATGTAAGGATATCGACGAAATATTATCCAGTTCTCAGATAAAATGGCATAAGGGAAAAAATTTCACTGGCTGTGATTTAATGGTGATTGGAATTTAACATAAAATTGTGTGTATTTAAATTTTCAAATTCTAAAATGAGAACCAAATGTTGATGTAATGCTGGCTCTCATTCTTTGTTGTAAAAACATATATCTCAAAACCATTATGAAAACTTTTATCATGTGCAGGAGGTTTTTTTGCAAAAAATACTAATCAAGAGAAGCTAAAATTTCTGGTGAAGGAAATTTTTACGTAAATCCCCCTCCTGAACATAATTTATCTGTTTAATTACACTGAATATCAATAGCAATGGTTCAGTTAAACATTCTTAAAACTTAATTCCATTATTCTTTCGCTATCAACATTTTCAAGACATTAGCAAAACAGTCCCATTTAAAAAAGCTCACAAATGTTCAAGAGTCTCAATGAAGGTTAAAAAAGGCATATATTGATATGGCAAAATCCACCTAAGAGAGGGGGTTAAACATGTAAAAGGCATATCCTATGAACAAAAATTAATAAGATGATAAAAAATTACATGAAAAATGCACTAGCTATCAACCAATCAAAATCTAGGATGCTGAATGAATTTCAGTTTGGCCTTAGAAATAAACAAAAGAGAAATGATATATTTTACATCAAAGCTGTTGTATTCTCTAGAATTAACTAATGTTGCAATGTTAAAAATCAGACTATAGGATCTTTTGTGATTTTGTAGACCAGAAATAAATTATAATGTAAAATTGAAAAGAGGCTGGTCCTCTTTTGCTCTAGATCTCTCTCTTTTGCCAAAAAATTTTTATTGACAAAATTCTGATAAAAAACTCAATGTCAACTTGCATAAACATAGTTTTTGTTGACAGTTTCTTAAATAATTTTGGAAGATTTAAAAGCTTTGATGTAGAATGCATCATGCAGATTTACTTGCAGCCTTTTTCTAAAAATAGATAGATTCAACTCTAACGCAGTAAGATATATAAATTGCTATGGACATTTTAAAACATAGATTTTTTCATTGCCCATTTTTTTTCTTCAAGTCGATGAGTTTATTTTTAGTCACTGAATCAACTACCTTGTATGGATACATTCTATTAAGCTGATTTTTGGGTTTTTTTTTAAAGTGCTTAGGGCTATTCCAGGAAAAAAATTATTCCATCAGAGATTAAACCCTGGGGAAAATACAACAGAAATTTTACACTTGTGTACTTCTTCCAAAAGAAAAGGTGTATTGATTAATGACTGTTTCAATTTCATGGCTGAAAAATTACTGTAAATTCAGAAATTATTGTGTGACAAAAATGCGAAATTTATTATTGCGATTTCAGGATAATCTGCATACAGATATATACATCAGATATCAGAGTGCAAGTTCTTATTATTGCGATTCTCACCCAGTCACATTTTTCGCAATAATAAAAACCTCCCAATAATTTCTGAATTTACAGTACCTCAAAGTAGTGAAAGCAAGAAACTTTTTCTGGTTCATACTATTTATGGAACATTGTTTAGGCTGAAATCAAAATTTTTTTTTCATTTGGCATTGTTAATGACCTGATATATAAAATTTTTATTTCCCTGTAATTTAAATATTGTGAAATTTAATATCCCAGGACTGAATTCATCGGATTTTGAGCAGTGAGTAGCTATAATGTTTAGCCTCAAAGAGTTAAAAATGATTCGTAAATATTAACTACATGTATTATATTGTTTGATTTTAAAAGTGACGATTTTTGCATTTTTATACGACCGCAAAAAAATTTTTGTGGTCAAATATTGGTATGACGTTGGCCTCGTCGTCGTCGTCCGAAGACACATTAGTTTTCGCACTCTAACTTGAGTTTAAGTGAATGGATCTCAATGAAATTTTACCATAAGGTTCAATACCACAAAAGAAAGGTGGGGATTGATTTTGGGGGTTATGGTACCAACAGTTAAGGAATTAGGGGCCAAAAATAAGCATTTTTGTAACTTCCAGACATAACTTGTGTGTAAGTGTATGGATCTCTCTGACATTGTACCACAAGGTTCCATATCACAAAGGGAATGCTGGGATTGATTTTGGGGGTAATTGCCTCCAAATTTTGGGAATTAGGGGCAAAAAACAAGCATTTTTCTAGTTTCATGACAATAACTTGTGTGTAAGTCTATTATGGATCTCTCTGACATTGTATCACAAGGTTCCATATCACAAAGGGAATGCTGGGATTGATTTTGGGGGTAATTGCCTTCAAATTTTAGGAATTAGGGGCCAAAAAGAGACAAAAAACAAGCATTTTTCTAGTTTCATGACAATAACTTGTGTATAAGTGTATGGATCTTTATGAAATTGTACTACAAGGTTCCATATCACAAAGGGAAAGCTGGAACTGAGTTTGGGTGTAATTGCCCCAAAAGTTTAGGAATAAGGGGCCAAAAATAAGCATTTTTCTAGTTTCCAGACAATAACTTGTGTTCAAGTGTATGGATCTCTCTGAAATTGTACTGCAAGGTACCATACCACAAAGGGAAGGCTTGGAATGATTTTGGGGGTAATTCCCTCAAAATTTTAGTAATTAGGGGCCATAAAAGGGCAAAAAAACAAGCATTTTTCTAGTTTCAGGACAATAACTTGTGTGTAAGTGTATGGATTTTTATGAAATTGTACTGCAAGGTTCCATATCACAAAGGGAAAGCTGGGTTTGAGTTTGGGGGTAATTGCCCTAAACGTCTAGGAATTTGGGGCCAAAAAGGGGCCAAAAAACAAGCATTTTTCTAGTTTCCAGACAATAACTTGTGTTCAAGTGTATGGATCTCTCTGAAATTGTACTGCAAGGTACCATACCACAAAGGGAAGGCTGGGATTGAGTTTGGGGGTGATGAATCATAAGGGGGTTCAAAAAATTTTGGGGGGGATTTTTTTTTCTTTTTTTTTCTTTAAAATTTTCCATTTTAAATTGGTTATTTCTGATTTATATATAAAAGCAAATAATAATGATATGGTGTGAATAGGTAGATTAAAAATTTTTAAGTTCTTAGACCACTTTCATTCTGTGTCAGAAACCTATGCTGTGTCAAATATTTAATTACAATCCAAATTCAGTGCTGTATCAAGCTTGAATGTTGTGTCCATACTTGCCCCAACTGTTCAGGGTTCGACCTCTGCGGTCGTATCAAGCTGTGCCCCAGCGGAGCATTTTATTTTATCAAGATATTCATTATTGTGGGGGAAATATTTGCATTTAAATTTTACATGCTAATTATATAGATGTGTACTTTGTATATAAAGTTTGGATTGTTCCTAAATCTTCAAAGTGAGTTGACTATCATCCATAGAGAATCTCATTAAATTTATTCCCTTCCATTTTTATACAACTGCAAAAAATTTTGCGGTTGCATATTGGTATCAAGTCCTAGTCGTCGTCGTCCGAAGACATTTGGTTTCAGGACAATAACTTTAGTAAATGTAAATAGAAATCTATGAAATTTAAACACAAGGTTTATAACCACTAAAGGAAGGTTGGGTTTGATTTTGGGGTTAAAGTCCTAACAGATTAGGAATTGGGGGCCAAAAAGGGGCCCAAATAAGCATTTTTCTAGTTTCCAGACAATAACTTGTGGAACGGTGTATGGATCTCTCTGAAATTATACCACAAGTTTCCATACCACAAAGGGATGGTTAGGATTGGCTTTGGGGGGTTTTGGCTCAAACCATTTAGGAATTAGGGGCAAAAAAGTGAGAAAAAACAAGGATGTCCTGGTTAATGGACAATTACTTAACCCTTTCCTCCATAATGACGCCTTTTGACGCCACCCCCTTTACTCCATAATGACGCCTTTTGACGCCTCTGTATAGTACCTCAGTTGAAACACTTTGACTACGAAATGTCTGTATCAGACTTAATAAAATTTGTATCCAATATAAAACGGATATTCATAAGAATATCTGACTTGAATTGCATTGATGAAATATTTGTTTTCGCAATGCATTAATACTTTAAACGTGCCGATTTTTTTTATAAATAGCCGTCGCCATTTTTTCGAGGTTCTTGTTGACAACCAAGTTTCAGAACACTGACATTGTCACGTTAACTACATTTATTGTTGGTTATTAATACCAACTGGTTATAAAATACCTAATAATCAATGTTTACGATACAGTTTGCGTAAAAAATTATTTTCCGTAAGAAAAACTTTATTTTGAAACTCCGATCGAGTGTTCACTGCCGCTTTTCTCGCTTTGGATTCGTACATTATTGCAACAAAAGCATTTTATTTTTAAACTTACGTTGAAATATCAGAAATTTAATGAACAACGCGGAGATATGCAGTCGAGTCCATACAATTCTTTTCTGACCCATTGAGTGAACAAATATAGCAACTTGTAAAATGTAAACATGTGTTTGGGGAATCCCATTATACGACTTCCGGCGAGTCATTAAGTGGGCGGGAACATACAAATTTTAATGACCACAAAAAAATCATTCAACGTACAATCTTTCAATGTTTTTGCTTATAGAAAGTGACATTTAAGTTTCAATCATAATTATTATAAGTTCTTCAATTAAATTAACGAGAATAGCGAATTATGCAACAATATTCAGTATCCGTAAGTTGTGATTATAAGCCCCGCCCACCAATAGAATTTACCGTTTTTACAGTGATGTTTACACAAACAAAAGATGATGAATATTTTTTCCGCGATGTTTATTTCAACAATCATGAAGGCATATGGTTCCGTGAACCACTTTGTTTTAGTAGTAACAATTTGACTAACAAATTACAGAGCCTTAAATTTGCGGTTCACTTCCCATTTATAAAATATGTCAGACTAAAAGAACAGACATACGTGCATTTTTCTCTTCACGATTTTCGCCGTATTTCGGGTTTCAGAGAATCAAAATGCGAGATAGAAGTAAAAATGTAGTTACTCGTTTGATTAAAAGCTACCTTAAATTTAAGCAACCAACTGATCAGCACATTTTATTATTAATGTTTAGTAGAGGAACAAGAGGGATATTAAATAATATTAGTATCCTAAACTTTGATGAAAAAACATGTCATGTTCATACATTGTATGTTGCAAATTTTTTTCAAGTTGATTTTTGAGGAACTTGTTTTCTACTTCCACTGGCTGTTACTGACTAATATTTTGTTAGTCTGGGAGAAAACAAAATACCTATTGATAGTTATAATTAATTGGCTTTAAACTAGCTTTCAGTAACTGTGTACTCTTAGATCAATACTCACTCACTCACATGTTTTGTTTTTTTAATTTTTTTTATATGTACTTCTTGCCAATCTAATGAGTCAAGTCAGCCATTAAAGAGCAGGAGTTTGGATGGATGCTTAGCACTCCTATCGATTCAAGCCATTCAAAGCAGACTTTTACATTTTATTCCTTTTTTTATGCCCCTGCCATAGCGGTGGGAGCATTAAGTTTTAAACTTGTCCGTCTATATGTATGTACGTACGTACGTACATCCCAAAATTGGTTTCCGTTCTCTAACTTGAGTTTGCCTCAACCAAATGTTATGAAACTTATACACAATGCTTATTACCACAAAACACAGATCAAATTTGAATTTGGGTAGTGTCACTTTAACCATTATTGAGTTATGCTATACACAATATTCATTACCACAAAACTAAGATCAAGTACAAATTTTTTGTTTCCGTTTTCTAACTTTATGTTGCCTCAACAAAATGTAATGAAACTTATACACAATGCTTATTACTACATGATACAGATTAAGTACGAAATTTGGTGGCGACACTTTTACCATTCTAGTGTTATGTCCCTTTATTATCATAAAAATTGCTGAATTTTTTAGTTTGTCTCAACCAAATGTTATAAAACTTATACACAACCGTTCTAGAGTTATGCGTGTTTACAAATAGAAAAATTGCTGAATTTTAGTTTCTGTTCTCCACTTAAGTTAGCCTCAACCAAATTTTATGAGACTTACACACAATGCTTATTACCACAAAACTCAGATCAAGTTCAAGTTTGGGTAGCGTCACTTTTACCGTTCTTCAGTTATGTCTCTTTATAACTATATGATATGCAAGCGGGGGCATCATCTGTGTCCACATGCGGGAATTTCTCGCTGCATTGAAGACCTGTTGGTAACCTTCTGCTGTTGTCTGTTCTATGGTCGGATTGTTGTCTCTTTGACACATTCCCCATTTCCATTCTTAATTTTACTATCCACATTTATTGTCTATTTGAATCACTGCCCAAGTTTGTGTTGCTCAGTCTTAAGTTTTCTATATTGTGTTTTGTATACTGTTGTTTGTCTTTTTTCTTTTTCGTTGTTTACCATTGTGTTGTCAGTTTATTTCGACTTATGCGTTTGAAAGTCCCTTTTGCCTCTCTTTGGGGAGTAATGTGCGCTCATAATCATAATTAACACAACCACATTATGTATGTTTCTGTCCAAAGTCAGAAGCCTATTATTCCGTGGTTGTTGTTGGTTGCTGTCTATCATCTTTTTGTTTACCCTTTTAGCATAAATCAGGCCGTTGGTTTTCTAGTGTGGATTGCTTCACATTTTGTCATAACATGCATAACACATAAACTATGAATGGTCATTGTCTTACATCCACATCATTTGGACTGTTGAAAAGTTGTCACATTGGCAATCTTACCACATTTCCTTATTTCATTATTGTATGCAAAACAGTCTACAGAAAGGTCTTTAGAAGACTAGCATTGAGAAGAGGTAAACAAATAAGGATTTATAAGGACCTCCTTCTGAATATGCATGAAATATTTGCCACTGGACGTGAAACAAGGAAGGGGTTAGCTGAATTCTTTCAAGTTAATGTATTGTTATTTCTGGAGGGGAAGGGGTTTGCCTTTATAGGAAAAAACCTAAATTGAAATAATGTTTTTTTTTATAAATTCAAATTGTGATGAAACGCACAGCAGGATATCAACATAGGAAAAAGTTTAATACCCTTCTAGATTTCAGGATTGATGTTACATTTTCGAGAGGACTTTACAAAGAGAAACAGGCATATGCATAATCAGCATGTAACACCATTAACAATAACAGTGTCAGTGTTCCATTGAACACAACTAAAACCAGATGCAAAATGGTGTACAAAAATGTAATAAAAAGAAACTATACCACATGCTATTATTTTCATATTGCCTTTTCAAACTGTGATATTTATCACTACTAGTATACAAAAAGGTCTTTGTTAAACAACTTCACAAACATCATAGATTTTCTTTTAGAAACAAGATATCTGATAACTAATAATGCATTTTCTAATTTGTTGGCCTAAGCACCTACTTTTTAGTCTGATTCTTGGGCCTTATTTGGATGCTAGGAGCACACATATGATAAATCTTTTTCAAGTGCAATGTTGTGATAAAAAGTTTCCATTTGTTATCATCCAAAATATCTAACTGTCAACTGTTCATTTTTTACTTATTATACAGGATTTCAGTTGGTTGCTATGAACAGAAACTGTTGCTAGGGAAAAATAATGTACAATATTATTTTCCATAATATATTCCAATATATGAGTCATCTTGATTAACCTGTAAAAACCTTATTTTTAAATATTTTCACCATTTTTTTTTAAATTCAAAATTTAATCACAATTTTTTTTTGGTTGTTACGGAAATACTTCTGTTGCTATGAGGAAAAAAATAGACAATTTTTAAAGAAAATAAAGTTTCCATTCAGATTATTTATGTACATTCAATTCTCTCATTGTTACTTAGAAACAAATTGACATTACAAGATTTAACCCAAAATTTAACCATTTTAATTTTATATTTGGATAAATCTCATTATCTGTTACCATGGCAACAATATTAAAAAATTTTTTTTTAGTAAATTTTGAAGATCTGACTTAAATGTATAACTGACAAAAAATTTCAAATGTCTAACTGGTCTATTAGAGGTACAGTTAATATTTCATTAAAGTAAGCATATTTTCAGCATTTTAATGAAAAATGCTATGCAAATCAAGTATGTAAAATAAAAATTTCCATGGAGGAAAGGGTTAAGTACAAATTACAGTGTAGGGGAGGTAATTCAATGTTGTGTTTGAATTACCTCCCTTACACTGCTTTTAAATTATGTATACAAAAATGTTGTATTGTCTTGAGGTGATTAGCTGTCAATATTTTGATAATTTTAAAAATGCTGATTAATGTAAATTAATTTTAGCCATGATTATGTAAGTCATTTTCTATTTTAAGACTTTTATGATGTATTAAAAAGGTTAATCATGGTTGCAAACTCCATTGGAAATTTGAATTGAGATTATGACCATATTTTGAGGGGAAGAATTTTTTTTTGGAAAAGGGGGGGGGGGGGGGGGTTAAAAAAGAAATGGGGGGGGGGGGGGGTGGGGACAATTTTTTCTCCTCAAGATTTCAGAAATCAAAAAGAAAATTTCTTCAGATATTTATTTTTGGAAAAAGGGGGGGGGGGGGGATTGGTGGTGGGGGATGGGGACAATTTTTTCTCCTCAAGATTTCAATTCGCAACAGCATAGTGTATTGCACAAAAGCAAAAAATTGAATATAAATTCAAATCATATAACCAATTCTAAGTTCTTTGACTACAGTTATTCTGTGTCAGAAACCTATTGTGTGTCAAATATTTAATTACAATCCAAATTTAGACCTGTATCAAGCGAGAATATTGTGTCCATTTTTGCCCCAACTGTTCAGGGTTGGACCTCTGCGGTCGTATCCAGCTGTGCTCGGCGAAGCAATTTATTGTTTTTAAAATAGGTTTTCACATAA